TCTTATTTACTTATTTCTCATCGCTTTTATTCACAGTTGAAACACGATACTCCCATCACACAAAGTGCTGCGGCGCTCAGTGAAGCCCGGGTGCAAGAGGAATGTAAAATGTCAATGTGTAAATGAAAGTAAAGGTGTTCAGGGGGTCTCTGTGTTGAGTTCTCGTAGCCTCACGGGGAGAACCCATTTTTTTTAGTTTGTTCGAGCCAAAGAAGCCCTTCTTGAAGGCTTCGTGTCCATGGTCAGTCTGCAAAACAGTCTGTTGTATTTTACCTATTGATTTCCTACTCATCCTGTAGAAACTCAGTGTTTTTAGGAAGGCGTTTGAATCAGGATTGGAGAGCAAAATCCTGATCTGCTCTCTGAGTTTAGTTTTGTGGTTATATTCGCAAAGGCGTCTTCAGTTGCAGCGTGATGGTTGGGTCTGGTTTAATTTGCCCCTAAATTTCTGAATGATTAGGATTTGGGGTTCTTTTGCCTTTTGTTTGGCAAGCAGCTCTGTGAAAGCAAATACCAATCTTTAATTAAAGAAATCCTGATGGCTTCTAGTCAAGATACGAAACCCGGGAAGCAGGAGCTGACCTGGATTGTGCAAAGGCAACCAGCAAGGTCTAGCAGTGAAGCAGCTTTCCATCGTCATCTGAAAAGGGAAAACACAAGCTCCCATGGCTGGATGACAGTAAAAACAACAGATATTTTTTGCTCAGGGGCTGTACAGTCGTGGCAAATACACCGCTGCTTAGGAGGACCGAGCAGGGAAATACGCAGTGATGATGGTTGGGTGCAGCCTCAAGAAGAAAGCTTTGCTCTTGGTTTGAATTTGGTTCCTTTTTTATGTAGTTCTCAGAGAGAGCACAGAAAGAGTGCTTTTGCTGTGGAAAAATGAGGTTCTCATTCATTGGAGTTTGAAAAACAAACCAAAACTTGTTCAAACTGATACTCCTCTACTTTTTTGGGCTGTCTTCATGAAATAAGATATGGCACTGTGAACTGACTTTGAGCTGTTTTAGATGGAGAACTGGGGATTTCTACCCATCCCGCTCTGCCACTCACTCACTTTCCTGTTGCTCTCCTCTGTCCAAGGCTGAGCTTTATTTACTTCTTTTCCCCTGTTTTTTTTTTTTTTTTTTGACAGCAAGTGAGTCCAGCTTGCGTGCACATAAGAAGAATTGGGCTGGGGAAAGTGCTGTTTTACCAGTTAGAATTTTTTTTTTTTTTTTTTTTTTCGTTTTTCCCCATTGCTTGATTAACAAAGCTGTTCTCTAAAATCTTGGCCTGGGTGCGGCCAAGAGGGAATGAGGTTTGATGGGCTTGCCTCGTTTAAAGAAACTTGGACTGGAGGCAGCAGTCAGAAGTTTGTTAATGGTTTGTCTTCTGCTGTGCTGTCCCGTGGTGGAGATGAGCCGACTTGTGAGCGTGCGGAGCTGATCAGGATGCGTTAAGGGATAACTTGCTGTCATGGGACTGCAGCTCATCCTGGTTCTCGGGGTCTGGGAAAGAGAGCAGGCAGGTTTTGGTTTCAGTCGCCGTGCTGGAGATTGAGCCTCAGGGTGGCGAAGGGTTGAGTGGTGGTTGAGCACCAGAACCCCTTTCGTGGGAGACTTTTAAGAGGGGTTTTGCACTTCCAGGTGGCTCATAAGAGCAACAAGGAAAAGCACATTTTTTGTAATTACATTTTAGAGAGCTCGTGGTGATGCAGAAAGAAAGTGGAAACCACAGCCGATGAGTTGGGTCTTGTTGCCTGCCTTAGGGGAGGGAGGATGGGCTCGAGCTCGGGTCTCTTTATGCATCCCTGATGGTCAGAGATGTTCTTGAGAACTGGCTTCTGCCTTGCACTTTAGCCTAGGGGAGAAGGACATGTGCGTTCCTGTTGTCCTTGCTTTGAAGCAGCAGTAGCAAGAGGGTAATTTCTTTATTTTTTAAAAGTGGGGATGAAAGAAGCAGGCACTGAAATAGTGCTGTCTGCTGGCAGACAAGCTGTCGGCCCTGGGTGACCTTGAACCACAAAGTGCCTTACAGTATCTGAGAAAAAGATGCTTTGGCCACCATCTCCTAGCTAGCCCATAGAACAGTGCCTGCTACTTGTCCGTGTTCATCTTCTTGGTTCCCAGGCTAGCCTGTATATTGAGACTTTTTTGTCTTCCAGGAAGACGGCTGGGAGGATAAAACAATTTTGCTTCTTGGAGAAAGCCTTCATAAATCCCCAAGATGTTTTCATACAGATCTTTTAAGTATCACGAGACTAGAAAAGCACTTTTCCCCCTTAGCATTTCTTGCTGGTTTTATATACATGTGTGCTTAGATATGGATGTTGGCCATAAGCATTTGAAGGAATGGTCAGTTGAGCTGCGTGGTAGAATTAGCTATTTAAATTTTATTTTTATCTTTTCTCTGGACCTTACTGGGCAGTTCTGTGGGAGCCCCAGTGAGGGCTGTTGTCCTCATCCTACTTGAACGGTCCTGTCCTCGCCCTGGGGCTTGTTTGACCGCAGAACGAACAGGTTCAGGCAACCTGAAAGCAAATCCCTCGTCGAAGGATCAGCCTTTTGGCACCCTTGGCTCCCCGGTCAGACGGTTGCAGCATCGGGTGAGTGTCAGCTCTGGGAGGGGGCGTAGGGACGGGATTGTGGCGGGATGGGTTTGAGCTGCTGAATCGTGGCCTTAGCTGGGTGTCACTGAGGTTGCACCGGGCAGGGACCAGGGCAGGAGGCGAGCACTGTACCCAAGCCAAACAAACAACGACCCTGGGCGAGGGGGCCGGCGTCCTGAGAGCCTCTGCAGCTTTGCACGTTGAGATCTGTACTTCTGAAAGAGCACTTCTCATGCACATTTGAACTTACGATCTCATTCCCCCTTCCTTGTGCTTTGTACTGGCATTTACACCGTTGTAAAGTGCGCGTAAAATACCGATGTTCATTTAATTTTGTTTCATTTTTGTTTAACTTAATTTGATTTTTGTTTTTCTCACGGTGAAATGCGTATCACAACCATGGAGGCAGTGGGGAAGTCGAGACTGCTTAAATTTAAAACTCTCCCCCTTTTGTTCTTGTTTAAACCCATGTACCTACAGCTGCTCTGAATTCTTTTATTACTGTTTGGTGCTGAGCAAGTGCAGAAGGATGGGCAGTGGGAGAGGGACGACGGTACGTGGGAGCACTTGGGGTAACGTGATGAGGGACCGAGTGAATCATGTGTTAGTTGTGTCACTCCCTGCACCACTGGCAAGCGTCGGGCAGTGGAGATGTGGAGGACAGTGGCATCTGCAGAGATCTTCATACTGAGAATAAAAGTAAGGCAGCAAAACGCCAGGCTCGCGAAAGCTAGAAAGCACCAGAATTAGTCTTAATTAAATCAATGCTAATGAAAAACCACTAGGCTTTTTTTCTGAAGTTATGTCAAGCTATTTTGTTTAGTGGTGGGTTTTTCTTTTTTTAAGAAAAATAACAGCGGAGTTTTGTAAGCAGCTGAGAGCGGGGTGTTGCAATGCAAGGTGGTGGACAGCAGCGTTGCTGGAAACAGCCATCAGAGAGAGATTTCTGCCTGAATAAGTAGGGAATATTATTGGTATTTCTCTGTGCTCGATGGATTCAGCAGAGAAGAACCAGCACGTTTGATAAAATTATGCCAGGCTGTGATTAAATGCCATTCTCCCTGCTGTAGCCATATTCCTCTCCTTTATTTATAGCACGTTTCTGCATTACAAACACAAAAAGAGATTTGCCTGCGCGCGGCTGGAGAGCACCCAGGGCAAAGGGGTCCCGATAGTCAGGAGGACGTGGGGGTCCGTGTCCTGTGTCCTTCCCACATCCGTGATGGGCTGCAGATTCTGCTGAGGAGAAGCCACGGGGGAGAGCAGCCGCTGGACCGGGCTGCCCCGCGTCCGTTTGGCCGTGCCGATGTCCGGATGAGAGTTTAGGCTGCTTGCCTACATTTTTTTTTTTTTTTTTTTTTTTTTTCCCCCTAAATACTGAGTCAAAACTCCTCTCCTTTCCTTCGGAGCCGCCCATGATCTTTCCAGCCTGTTTCACAGACATCTCCCCCTTCTCTCAGACCCCGTTCCCTGGATCCCTTTCTGGTCCTTCAGACACTTTTGCTGCTCCCAACGAAAGCATCTTCACCAGCTTTTGCGCAGTGTTGTCCCTACGCAAGCACATCTAGACTGGATTTGTCCAAATGTGCCACTAAGAACAAGCCCAAACCATAAAGTTGTGGGTTTTTTTTACATATGCTAAGATTCGCAGTCCGTCTGCTCTATGTTTGTGTAAGGCCTAGAACAATGAAACCCAGCCCTAGTTTAGTGCCCGGGCAATTCTGCAATAAATGTAAGACATAAATCTGGGTTTGTGCTTGATCTCGTCTTTTACCTTTCTCATTCTTCCCATCAAGGAGAAAACTACTTGTTCCCTTGAGACTTTAAACTCTCTTTAGAGCGTTTGAAAATATAATTTCACTTACCTCTTTTTCCAGCGGTGTACAGGTGGAGGAGTTTCCTTACTTTTAGTCTCTCCCCAAAATCGGGGACCCTTTGGCACCTGGTCCCGCCCGGTGGGGTGCTAACAGGAACGAGGACGAGCAGCACAGGGACTGTGTTAAAGATATTGCAAGGTGGGGATTCCTTCGGCAGCGTTGCTCGGTGTGGGAGGTCTGGAGCGGCACGTTGGGTTTTTGCAACCTCAGGCATCTCCCAGGAGACCCGTAGGGAAGCAGGCAATATTTTATTTTGGTGGAAAAAGGAAAAAGGGTGTTTTAGCAGCTTGATAGTGCCCCTTTATTAGAGCACCTATATTGGTATCCTGTTAATAGCAACACTGCTACTACCAGGGTCAAAATTCTCAGCTTTTCCTTCAGATTTCCTATCACAAATTACCAGTGAATAGCTTCTATATTATTTCTTGCTAGTTGCTACTTAGTTCTACAGAGGAAATAAAACCTTTTGCTGCAGCAAGTGAAAAGGCAATTTCTAACTGAACACATTTTTTTTTTTTTTTCTTGTCTTCCAGACTTCATTTTATGGCAGATTCAGGCACTTCTTGGACATAATCGATCCACGCACTCTTTTTGTTACTGAGGTAATGTATTCGCGCCTTGTTTTCTGAAAGTACTGTTTATTAGAAAAGCTTAGATTAAAAACAAGTTCTGTCAACAGCAGAAGTAATGGAGCCAGGTTTCCAGTGGATTTGTGTCTCACAGTTGATTGATTGCCCGACTGAGCTCTGTTAAATCCACGGCAGAAACTTGCTTTTTATTAGACATCAGTGAATCCACACCTGTCAGTCTCCCATCTCCCTCTGGTAACTGGTGAGACCCTGAACTGGTTTCGGTTAAACTTGCCAACGATGTCATCATCTCAGAAGGAAAATTCCTACAAGTCCTCATGGAAAAAAAAAATGCAGGTGAGTAGATCAGAGACCAAATATTAATTCTCGTGGAGGAAGTGAGCTGGGTGGGTTGGCACCGCAGTTTTTCAGTGGCTGCACTCAAGAAGACCTTTTCTGAGCAAATTGTTGTAGTTTTGCCTTAGTTATTACCCTGTTTGTAACAAGTGTTTGGGTTTCTGGCCCATTTATGTTTCATTTAGTGTTGTCCAGCATTACTGCATTTCTCTGCTTTCATAAAATAGTGACTAATAGTTGCGGGGAATCCTTTTAGAAGAAATATTTCTACTGGTAAATTTAAATTCTGCCTGTTGGCCCGAAAACTTAGGATTTTGCTTTCAGTGAAGGGCAGCTGCTTTTTCTTTTTTAATTTTTTTTTTTTTTGAGGTGGGATAGTTTAAGATGAAAATATATGCACAAGCAATTCTCAAAACACAGGGAGCTGATCTGCTCATTGTAGCTAATGGTGAACTGAGTCCAGTTCCTTACACACCGTGGTGGTGGGGGGGGAAAAAAAAAAAAACCCAATACAGCTTTAAATAATCAATTTCTTCTAAATCGGGTTGCTTTTTTTTTCAAAAACATAAAGCTAAGATGTATCGTGTTGTTCATTTTGAGTACCTTTTGAAGGTGTCGTTGTGTCGTGATAAAAGGGAATTAAAATCACGATATTACCTGAGGATGCAGTGCGCTTTGCAGGTGTTAGAGCTGCTGTTTAAAGAGGATGTGAGCACCTATGCCAGAATTAAAAAAATGCTACCCGTAAAAAGCTCAGCACTGCTCTTACCTTAGTGGAGATTTAGTGTTAAGTGCAACACGGGGCGTGTTGAAGGAGTGTGTTTGGCAGCGTGGGGAATCCTCCAGTGTGTGTTTGTGGTGATGCAGAGGCTGCTGTATGTAATTTGTGAGCTCGCTCTCTCTATTCTCATAATTTTGATTCCGAAATTCCTAAGTGGATGCAAAGGGTCCTCACTACCTAATGATGCTTTTTGAAGGGAAGGAGAGGATACTTTGCATGCAAAAAGGGAATGGGATCTTGGAGATGGGAGACTGTCCATTCGTCATGCACTGCGAACGCTGATCAAACACCTAAAGGCAGTGAGGAAACTGGGGCTCAGAAACGGATCCAGACAAACGTTGAAACACCAATTTGCACTAGAAAGCTTTGCAGAGTTGCTATTTGATGGGTTTCCAGACGCATGTGCTTTCTGACCTCCTGCTCTGGGGCACAGTGTCGGGGACAGGATGGGCTCAGGATGTTTGAGGATGAAAATGGGTTCTGGGCTCCAGGCAGCTGCACCAGGAGGTCCTGAGTCACGATCATTTGCACAGAGGTTCTTCTTTTTGGTAGATTTTGTTATTCTTCAGCTTGTTTTCTTTTCCTTTTTCTTGGAGGAAAATTCTGTTGAGTGGAGAGCATCCACCCAGTTCCGTTTAGTTAAAATTTCTCTTCCTTTGGGAATGTTTCCATGTTCTAATAATAGTCCTCACCTTTCTCAAGTCTTCATTTAAGCCTATAGCATGTGTGTGTATGTAGGTTGTTTTTTGCCTTTTTTTTTTTTTTTTTTTTAATCTGGGTAACCCACTGTGCACAATCCAGGACCAAACTATTGGTTGTCACAATGACGTTAATATAGAAAAAACCCAGAATTCTTAAACCTGCTTCTTTTGTATCTCCAAAGTGGGGAGATATAAGTGAACATGACTGAGTTAGTGGTTCTACTTTTTGTAGTTACGAAATAGGTTTAAGAAGAAGGCACTGTGTTCCCATTTGGGATGGGGCCAGCACTTTTACACTATGGTTACAGCAGTGTAATGAAACAATTTAAATTGAGCTCTATAACTCAGACTGGTTTCACCGTGTACCCAAAACCTGTAATTCTGTCTACCCATTTTGTTACCTCCAGCACCAAACAGTTGTGGTTCCAGAGTGAAAACAGGTATTTGAGATCCTGAAAGGCTCCCTTTTCCCCTCCTTTGTGATTTTTTTCCTTTTTAAGGGCTGTATCTCTCCTGCCCTTTGAGGGCAATTATCTTGCTCATCATGCTCCATTGAATATAGAGGGTGACTAGACTCTTGGGTAAGCTATCTGTGAGTTGGTTACCCACTCTGAACTTCGATGAGTTGATCCCTTTGTTGGCTCAGCCGCATGCTTTTCTACCTTCCCATTGTCACCTTTTCAAAATGTTAGAAGTTTTTGAAGAGGTTGGTAACGTTGGGGGTGCTGAGTGGTCAGGTGGTGTAACTTAATTTTTCCAGACACCTTTTGATGAGGTGGTTCTAAGAAGGTGAGACCTAAGGGAAAAAAGAGCAAAATCCGAGTGGCCCATTTTTATCCTGGAGACAGCTGTCAAGATTTGAGTGCCTCAAGAAATTCCAGACCCCAGCTGAACCTCAACGAATAAAGGAGATTTGGAGTCCTTCTGTGGGGTCTAATAAGCATAGGTCTGACCTTTGTGGTCTTCAGGAATGGCTTGGTGGCTTTCCAAGAAAGGAAACGCCCTCCGTCCATTTTCTTTGAGAGTTTGAATTATATGATAGTGAAGTTTCAGTAGACCTGCAGCCCATTTCATGAAGTCTACAAGAGTTCTTTTTCCCTAGAGCAGTCTCTTGGCAAAGTAGACGTGAACACCTGGGGTCACGGGAAACACATCTCGGAGCACAAAAGCTGCTCTGTTGATTGTCCTGCTTGCTGCGCTTTAAAATACTTTGTGTGTGTATATAACTAAAAGCTGTTTGGTTTTCTTTGATAATTTAGGTGGCAAATTAAAATCGAGAAAGGATTTGATGAAAAAAAACAGCCGTTTACGGAGAGCTCCTCCTCGCTGACAGATGGCTGCATCTTTCAGGCCTGGGGTTCTCGGGGAACAAATAAATTGCTGTTTGTCTTGGAGGAGCTCACTAGCAAATGAGGAAAAAAAAAAAAAAAAAAGCAGATAAATTAGTCTCTAATGAGAATGAAGGTTAATCCCATGAAAAATGCTGGGAAATGTAATAATATATTTTTTTCTGCATCCTTTTTTTAATTGCTGTGTGTTACATCATTGCATCCTACTAGTGGCTGTGTTTTGAGGACGGATGAAGTGATCCCTCTGAGTAGGAGAAACCAAGCACTGTGATATCAAGTATAATTAGTCTCAGCAACAGTCCTCTCTTACTCATTTATTTTTCAATAAAACGAATTCTTAACACAATTAAAAACTTCCTTGTCTTTTAGAGGTTCTTCAACATTAATCCTCAAGGGGTGCATATTGAGTACTGGATTATGTTGTAGCTGTACTTTGCAGTCTGTGAACTCATAAAAAGCAAGCGTGTGCCTGTGTGAGGCACGTGGCTGGAGCAGTTGGAAGCCAGTTGCTCCAGTTTTATCTTTAGTGGGTTCTGGTAGCATAATTATCTGTATCAAACTTGCCTACCAATTTTACTGGCTTTCTGAGTGCATATGATATTGAAACAAGGCACTGACCTTGTGTCAATATTGCACGTAACCTCTAATGAGAAGGTTTTCTTGCGTGCTAATTCATATCATTACTGGCTTTCTAATGAAATAATTTTTTGGCAGCTTCAAATTTGCAAACTTTTCCAATAAGCGGGAAATGTGTCATTTCAGAGGTCAAGCCCAACAAGTCCTGTTGCTGAGACCATGAGAAACCCCTCAGTGGGTGTAATGCCTACTTTCAAAATGTGTGAGGTTAAAACAATTGGAATAATAATTTTAATTGCTCTGTAATTAAGGTCCATCGGGAGAACCAGTAGGGACCAGCAGATTTTTTGATAGGGCTAACTCATCCCATCTGACATTAGCCTGGACAGACTGTTAACACTCTGTGGGAAGCTCTTCATGGAGAAAGCTGTAGATCTGACAATAATTCAAAGGAAAAGTGAAATAAGCATTAAACCGAGCTCACAGGAGCTGTGTGTTATCTGCTTTTGCTTTATCTCATTGTTCAGAGCATAAATCTGCAGAGCGCTGAGCATCTTGCATTCCCATATTTGGGTTTAAAATGGAAGCAGGATTAGATGTATGTTATTTATATGAACGATACCTTCTTACTCAGCAGATTGACTGTCTGTGTTTATTCAGTGTCACATCTGCTGGCTCTACTTGAACAAAAAGTTTCTGGCTCCTGTTGTCTGTCACTGTAGATCCAATACAATAGGGCCAGCTGGAGTCAAGTCTGCCGTATGTATCATCCATAGAGTAGTGAGACAAAATCGAAACTGTTGAGTCGCTGATGGCAGAGCACAGCTGGATTTCCATATCCCATGTCGAATTTGTGGTGCCGACGGCCAGAGGACCCTGACTTTTGATCGCGTGCCAGTAAGTCATCGTTGGCCCGACCCTGAAACCAGTGAAACTCACAGGCGCACGGCGGATCATCACCGGGCTCACGCGGCCTCCAAACCTCGACGCAAGCCCCGCGTGAGCAAAGGGAGATGCAAACTGTTCCAGCCTGCCCTGTCCCATCAGTGGTTTTTCTCTTAAACGCCTCGAATGCGAAACTTGACTCTTTTTCTGTTGATTCTGGAACAGTAATGTTGTAGTGCTACTGGCATAATGACTGTTATTACGGTCTGTATGTGCACATATGGGTTTCTGGAGGCAGCTCTCAGCCATGTGTAGGCATCAGTTGAGATCCAAGAGAAGACAAGGCACAGATCTTTCAGACAGAAACAGTGTGCCCTAGAGCAA